TGTGTCTCTGTGTCTCTCTCTATGTGTCTCTCTCCTCTGTGTCTCTCTCTGTAGTCTCTCTCTCTGTGTCTCTCTCTGTATGTCTCTCTCTGTGTCTCTCTCTGTGTGTCTCTGTGTCTCTCTCTATGTGTCTCTCTCTCTGTGTCTCTCTCTATCTGTCTTTGTGTCTCTCTCTGTATGTCTCTCTCTGTATGTCTCTCTCTGTGTCTCTCTCTGTGTGTCTCTGTGTGTGCGCGCGTCTGCAGATCTGAACAGGACATTCCCAGAGAACGTCTACTTCCAGGAGGGAGCTCAGCCCAGCCTCAAGGAGTCCCTGGGCCGCGTGCTGGCCAGCTACGGCCACCACAACGACACCGTCGGATACTGCCAGGTTACCGTCGCGCACAGAAGGCAAAGATCCCCCGTGTAGCCTCTAGCAGGCTGCTGGGGCAAGTGCTGTTAGTAGCGAGTAGCAGCAGCACCTATACACAGGCAAAGATCCCCCGTGTAGCCTCTAGCAGACTGCAGGGGCAAGTGCTGTCTTTCCGACAGACCTGTTCATTCAGACGCTGTCTTTCCGACAGACCTGTTCATTCAGACGCTGTCTTTCTGACAGACCTGTTCATTCAGACGCTGTCTTTCCGACAGACCTGTTCATTCAGACGCTGTCTTTCCGACAGACCTGTTCATTCAGACGCTGTCTTTCCGACAGACCTGTTCATTCAGACGCTGTCTTTCCGACAGACCTGTTCATTCAGACGCTGTCTTTCCGACAGACCTGTTCATTCGGACGCTGTCTTTCCGACAGACCTGTTCATTCGGACGCTGTCTTTCCGACAGACCTGTTCATTCAGACGCTGTCTTTCCGACAGACCTGTTCATTCAGACGCTGTCTTTCCGACAGACCGATTCATTCAGACGCTGTCTTTCCGACAGACCTGTTCATTCAGACGCTGTCTTTCTGACAGACCTGTTCATTCAGACGCTGTCTTTCCGACAGACCTGTTCATTCAGACGCTGTCTTTCTGACAGACCTGTTCATTCAGACGCTGTCTTTCCGACAGACCTGTTCATTCAGACGCTGTCTTTCTGACAGACCTGTTCATTCAGACGCTGTCTTTCCGACAGACCTGTTCATTCAGATGCTGTCTTTCTGACAGACCTGTTCATTCAGACGCTGTCTTTCCGACAGACCTGTTCATTCAGACGCTGTCTTTCCGACAGACCTGTTCATTCAGACGCTGTCTTTCCGACAGTCCTGTTCATTCAGACGCTGTCTTTCCGACAGACCTGTTCATTCGGACGCTGTCTTTCCGACAGACCTGTTCATTCAGACGCTGTCTTTCCGACAGACCTGTTCATTCAGACGCTGTCTTTCCGACAGACCTGTTCATTCAGACGCTGTCTTTCCGACAGTCCTGTTCATTCAGACGCTGTCTTTCCGACAGACCTGTTCATTCGGACGCTGTCTTTCCGACAGACCTGTTCATTCGGACGCTGTCTTTCCGACAGACCTGTTCATTCAGACGCTGTCTTTCCGACAGACCTGTTCATTCGGACGCTGTCTTTCCGACAGACCTGTTCATTCGGACGCTGTCTTTCCGACAGACCTGTTCATTCAGACGCTGTCTTTCCGACAGACCTGTTCATTCAGACGCTGTCTTTCCGACAGACCTGTTCATTCAGACGCTGTCTTTCCGACAGACCTGTTCATTCAGACGCTGTCTTTCCGACAGACCTGTTCATTCGGACGCTGTCTTTCCGACAGACCTGTTCATTCGGACGCTGTCTTTCCGACAGACCTGTTCATTCAGACGCTGTCTTTCCGACAGACCTGTTCATTCAGACGCTGTCTTTCCGACAGACCTGTTCATTCGGACGCTGTCTTTCCGACAGACCTGTTCATTCGGACGCTGTCTTTCCGACAGACCTGTTCATTCAGACGCTGTCTTTCCGACAGACCTGTTCATTCAGACGCTGTCTTTCCGACAGACCTGTTCATTCAGACGCTGTCTTTCCGACAGACCTGTTCATTCGGACGCTGTCTTTCCGACAGACCTGTTCATTCGGACGCTGTCTTTCCGACAGACCTGTTCTTCACCTGAGGACGGCTGCTTGCGTTGTGGCCGAAACGTCGTGAGAATTGTATTATTTTGTTATGTTTTATTATTTTATTATTTCCCTTCTACGTGACTTTACCGAAAGAACCAAGAAGGTGAATCCATGCTGCAGTCACGAAAGCTTTCAATCGAAAATTTGGACCACCCTTATAATAACAACAACAACCCTTATGTGTCCTAACGTTTGGGCCACCTTGTATTATTCTTCACACACACAGGGCATGAACTTCCTGGCCGGCTACCTCCTCATTGTGACGAGATCCGAGGAGAAGTCGTTCTGGCTCATGGATGCCCTCATCGGCAGAATCCTGCCTGGTACGTCCCCCACTTCTCTCTCTCGCTCTCGGTCACAGCCACCGTGACGGCAACAACGCAGACCCACAGACTCAACACTGACCCACAGACTCACAGACTCACTGACTCAACGCTGACTCACAGACTCAACGCTGACTCACAGACTCAACACTGACTCACAGACTCAACACTGACTCACAGACTCAACACTGACTCACTGACTCAACGCTGACTCACAGACTCAACACTGACTCACAGACTCAACACTGACTCACAGACTCAACACTGACTCACAGACTCAACGCTGACTCACAGACTCAACGCTGACTCACAGACTCAACACTGACTCACAGACTCAACACTGACTCACTGACTCAACGCTGACTCACAGACTCAACACTGACTCACAGACTCAACACTGACTCACAGACTCAACACTGACTCACTGACTCAACGCTGACTCACAGACTCAACACTGACTCACAGACTCAACACTGACCCACAGACTCACAGACTCAACACTGACTCACAGACTCACAGACTCAACACTGACCCACAGACTCACAGACTCAACACTGACTCACAGACTCACAGACTCAACACTGACTCACAGACTCACAGACTCAACACTGACTCACAGACCCACAGACTCAACACTGACCCACAGACTCACAGACTCAACACTGACCCACAGACCCACAGACTCAACACTGACCCACAGACTCAACACTGACCCACAGACTCACAGACTCAACACTGACCCACAGACTCACAGACTCAACACTGACCCACAGACTCACAGACTCAACACTGACCCACAGACTCACTGACTCAACACTGACCCACAGACTCACAGACTCAACACTGACCCACTGACTCACAGACTCAACACTGACTCACAGACTCACAGACTCAACACTGACCCACTGACTCACAGACTCAACACTGACTCACAGACTCACAGACTCAACACTGACCCACAGACTCACAGACTCAACACTGACTCACAGACTCACAGACTCAACACTGACCCACAGACTCACTGACTCAACACAGACTCACAGACTCACAGACTCGACACTGACCCACAGACTCACTGACTCAACACTGACTCACAGACACACAGACTCAACACTGACCCACAGACTTACTGACTCACAGACTCAACACTGACCCACAGACTCACAGACTCACAGACCCACAGACACACTGACTCAACACTGACTCACAGACTCACAGACTCAACACTGACTCACAGACTCACAGACTCAACACTGACTCACAGACTCACAGACTCAACACTGACCCACAGACCCACAGACTCAACACTGACTCACAGACTCACAGACTCAACACTGACCCACAGACTCACAGACTCAACACTGACCCACAGACTCAACACTGACCCACAGACCCACAGACTCAACACTGACCCACAGACTCACAGACTCAACACTGACTCACAGACTCACAGACTCAACACTGACCCACTGACTCACAGACTCAACACTGACTCACAGACTCACAGACTCAACACTGACTCACAGACTCAACACTGACCCACAGACTCACAGACTCAACACTGACTCACAGACTCACAGACTCACACTGACTCACAGACTCAACACTGACTCACAGACTCAACACTGACTCACAGACTCAACACTGACTCACAGACTCACAGACTCAACACTGACACACAGACTCACAGACTCAACACTGACTCACAGACTCACAGACTCAACACTGACCCACAGACTCAACACTGACTCACAGACTCACAGACTCAACACTGACCCACAGACTCACTGACTCAACACTGACCCACAGACTCACAGACTCAACACTGACTCACAGACTCGACACTGACCCACAGACTCACAGACTCAACACTGACTCACAGACTCGACACTGACCCACAGACTCACAGACTCAACACTGACTCACATACTCACAGACTCAACACTGACTCACAGACTCGACACTGACCCACAGACTCACAGACTCAACACTGACCCACAGACTCACAGACTCAACACTGACTCACATACTCACAGACTCAACACTGACTCACAGACTCGACACTGACCCACATACTCACAGACTCAACACTGACCCACAGACTCACAGACTCAACACTGACTCACATACTCACAGACTCAACACTGACTCACAGACTCGACACTGACCCACAGACTCACAGACTCAACACTGACTCACAGACTCACAGACTCAACACTGACTCACAGACTCAACACTGACCCACAGACTCACAGACTCAACACTGACTCACAGACTCGACACTGACCCACAGACTCACAGACTCAACACTGACCCACAGACTCACAGACTCAACACTGACTCACATACTCACAGACTCAACACTGACTCACAGACTCGACACTGACCCACAGACTCACAGACTCAACACTGACTCACAGACCCACAGACTCAACACTGACCCACAGACTCAACACTGACCCACAGACTCACTGACTCAACACTGACTCACAGACTCAACACTGACCCACAGACTCACAGACTCAACACAGACCCACAGACTCGACACTGACCCACAGACTCACAGACTCAACACTGACTCACATACTCACAGACTCAACACTGACCCACAGACTCACAGACTCACAGACTCAACACTGACACACAGACTCAACACTGACTCACAGACTCACAGACTCAACACTGACTCACAGACTCACAGACTCAACATTGACTCACAGACTCACAGACTCAACACTGACCCGCAGACTCACAGACTCAACACTGACTCACAGACTCACAGACTCAACACTGACACACAGACTCAACACTGACTCACAGACTCACAGACTCAACACTGACTCACAGACTCACAGACTCAACACTGACTCACAGACTCAACACTGACTCACAGACTCAACACTGACTCACAGACTCAACACTGACACACAGACTCACAGACTCAACACAGACCCACAGACTCACAGACTCAACACTGACACACAGACCCACAGACTCAACACTGACTCACAGACTCACAGACTCAACACTGACCCACAGACTCACAGACTCACAGACTCAACACTGACCCACAGACTCACTGACTCAACACTGACCCACAGACTCACTGACTCAACACTGACTCACAGACTCAACACTGACCCACAGACTCACAGACTCAACACTGACCCACAGACTCAACACTGACCCACAGACTCACAGACTCAACACTGACTCACAGACTCAACACTGACCCACAGACTCACAGACTCAACACTGACTCACAGACTCAACACTGACCCACAGACCCGCAGACTCAACACTGACCCACAGACTCAACACTGACTCACAGACTCACTGACTCAACGCTGACTCACAGACTCAACACTGACCCACAGACTCAACACTGACCCACAGACCCACAGACTCAACACTGACTCACAGACTCACAGACCCACAGACTCACAGACCCACAGACCCACAGACTCAACACTGACTCACAGACTCACAGACTCAACACTGACTCACAGACCCACAGACTCAACACTGACCCACAGACCCACAGACTCAACACTGACTCACAGACCCACAGACTCAACACTGACCCACAGACTCACAGACTCAACACTGACACACAGACTCACAGACTCAACACTGACCCACAGACCCACAGACTCAACACTGACCCACAGACTCACAGACTCAACACTGACTCACAGACTCACAGACTCAACACTGACTCACAGACCCACAGACTCAACACTGACCCACAGACTCACAGACTCAACACTGACACACAGACTCACAGTCTCAACACTGACCCACAGACTCAACACTGACTCACAGACTCACAGACTCAACACTGACCCACAGACTCACTGACTCAACACTGACCCACAGACTCACTGACTCAACACTGACTCACAGACTCAACACTGACCCACAGACTCACAGACTCAACACTGACCCACAGACTCAACACTGACCCACAGACTCAACACTGACTCACAGACTCACTGACTCAACGCTGACTCACAGACTCAACACTGACTCACAGACTCACAGACCCACAGACCCACAGACTCACAGACCCACAGACTCACAGACTCACAGACCCACAGACTCAACACTGACCCACAGACTCAACACTGACCCACAGACCCACAGACTCAACACTGACTCACAGACTCACAGACTCAACACTGACCCACAGACTCAACACTGACCCACAGACCCACAGACTCAACACTGACCCACAGACTCAAAACTGACCCACAGACTCAACACTGACCCACTCACACACTCACTGGCACACTCACTCACACACCCACACACTCACTTACACACTCACACACTCACTCACTCGCACACACACTCACACACTCACTGACACACTCACTCACTCACTCGCACACACACTCACACACTCACTGACACACTCACTCACACACTCGCACACTCACTCGCATCCCGAACAACACTTTTTTGCGATCAACCAAACCCCGTTTCTGCGATCCACCAAACCCCTGTCTCCCTCTACCCCCGCCCCGCTATGTAGACTACTACACCAGGGACATGCTGGGAGTGCGAGTGGACCACTCACATACTCGCTCACTCATTCACACACTCACACACTCATTCACACACCCACTCACTCACTCGCACACTCACACACTCACACACTCACCCCCCCCCCCCCCCCCCACTGTGTAGACTACTACACCAGGGACATGCTGGGAGTGCGAGTGGACCACTCACTCACACACTCACTCGCACACTTACTCGCACACTCACTCACTCACACACACACTCACTCACTGGCACACTCACACACTCACTGGCAACAACACTTGACGTTTCCGCGTGTAGACTACTACACCAGGGACATGCTGGGAGTGCGTGTGGAGCACTCACTCACTCGCTCACACACTCACTCGCTCACTCACTCACTCGCTCACTCACTCACTCACTCACACACTCACTCACACACTCACTCACTCACACACTCACACACTCACTCACACACTCACTCACTCGCTCACACACTCACTGGCACTCTCACTCGCTCACTCGCATACTCACTCACTCGCACACACACTCACACACACACTCACACACTCGCTCACACACTCACTCTCACACTCACTCGCACACTCACTCACTCACACACTCACTCACTGGCACACTCACACACTCACACACTCACTCACACACTCACTCACACACTCACTCACTCACTCACATACTCACTCACTCACTCACACACTCACACACTCACTCACACACACTCACTCACTCACACACTCACACACACACTCACACACTCAATCACTCACTCACACACTCAATCACTCACTCACTCACACACTCACTCACTCACACACTCACTCACTCACTCACACACTCACTCACTCACACACTCACTCACTCACACACTCACTCACTCACTCACACACTCACTCACTCACTCACACACTCACTCACTCACACACTCACTCATTCACACACTCACACACACACTGGCAACAACACTTGACGTTCCCCCACTGTTTAGACTACTACACCAGGGACATGCTGGGAGTGCGAGTGGACCACTCACTCACGCACTCATTCACTCACACACTCACTCACACACTCACTCACTCATTCACACACACACTCACTCACTCACACACTCACCCCCCCCCCCACTGTGTAGACTACTACACCAGGGACATGCTGGGAGTGCGAGTGGACCACTCACTCACTCACTCACACACTCGCACACTCACACACTCACACACTCACACACTCACTCACACACTCACTCACTCACTCTCACACTCACTCGCACACTCACTCACTCACACACTCACTCACTGGCACACTCACACACTCACTGGCAACAACACTTGACGTTTCCCCGTGTAGACTACTACACCAGGGGACATGCTGGGAGTGCGTGTGGAGCACTCACTCACTCGCTCACACACTCGCTCACTCACTCGCTCACTCACTCACTCACACACTCACTCACTCACACACTCACACACTCACTCACACACTCACTCACTCGCGCACACACTCACTGGCACTCTCACTCGCTCACTCGCATACTCACTCACTCGCACACACACTCACACACACACTCACACACTCGCTCACACACTCACTCTCACACTCACTCGCACACTCACTCGCACACTCACTCACTGGCACACTCACACACTCACTCACACACTCACTCACTCACATACTCACTCACTCACACACTCACACACTCACTCACACTCACACACACACACTCACTCACACACTCACACACACACTCACACACTCACTCACTGACACACTCACACACTCACTCACACACTCACTCACACACTCACACACACACACTCACTCACACACTCACACACTCACTCACTCACTCACACACTCACTCACACACTCACTCACTCACTCACACACTCGCACACTCACACACACACTCGCACACTCACACACACACTCACTCACACACTCACTCACACACTCACTCACACACTCACTCACACACTCACTCACACACTCACCCCCCCCCCCCCCCCCCCACTGTGTAGACTACTACACCAGGGACATGCTGGGAGTGCGAGTGGACCACTCACTCACTCACACACTCACTCACTCACACACTCACTCACACACTCACACACTCACTCACACACTCACACACTCACTCACACTCACACACTCACACTCTCACACTCACACACTCACTCACTCACTGGCACAATCACACACTCACACACTCACTCACTCACTGGCACAATCACACACTCACACACTGGCACACTCACACACTGGCACACTCACACACTCACTGGCAACAACACTTGACGTTTCCCCACTGTGTAGACTACTACACCAGGGACATGCTGGGAATGCGAGTGGACCACTCACTCACACACTCATTCACTCACACACTCACTCACTCACACACTCACACACACTCACACACTCACACGCTCACTCACACACTCACACACTCACACACTCACTCACTCACACACACACTCACACACTCACTCACACACACACTCGCACACACACTCACTCACACACTCACACACTCACTCACTCACACACTCACTCACTCACTCACACACTCTCACACACACTCACTCACTCACACACTTGCACACTCACTCACACACTCACTGACTCACTAACACACTCGCACACTCACACACTCACACACTCACACACTCACTCGCCCACTCACTCACTCACACACTCACACACTCACTCACACACTCATACACTCACACACTCATACACTCACACACTCATACACTCACACACTCATACACTCACACACTCACTCACTCACACACACACTCACACACTCACTCACACACACACTCACTCACACACTCACTCACACACTCACTCACACACACACTCACTCACACACTCACTCACACACTCACCCACCCACCCCCCCCCTGTCTCCGTGTAGACTACTACACCAGGGACATGCTGGGAGTGCGTGTGGACCACTCACTCACTCACACACTCACTCACTCACACACACACTCACTCACACACTCACCCACCCACCCCCCCCCCCCCACTGTGTAGACTACTACACCAGGGACATGCTGGGAGTGCGAGTGGACCACTCACTCACTCACTCGCACACTCACTCACTCACACACTCACTCACTCACACACTCACACATTCACACATTCACACATTCACTCACACACTCACTCACTCACACACTCACTCACACACTCACACACTCACTCACACACTCACACACTCACTCACTCACACACTCACTCACACACTCACTCACTCACACACTCACACATTCACTCACACACTCACTCACTCACACACTCACACACTCACTCACTCACACACTCACTCACACACTTACCCACCCCCCCCCCGACTGTGTAGACTACTACACCAGGGACATGCTGGGAGTGCGTGTGGACCAGGAGGTGCTGGGGGAGCTGCTCGCCACCAAGCTGCCCCACGTGGCCGCCCACGTGGCCAGCCACGGCGTGCCCTGGCCGCTTCTCACGGCGCGCTGGTTCCTGTGTCTCTACGTTGATGTGCTTCCTGTAGAGGTACCCCCCATTACTACCCCCCACTACTACTACCCCCCACTACTACCCCCCACTACTACCCCCCACTACCACTTCTACTACTACTACCACGGAGTGCCCTGGTCACTACTCACGGCTCGCTGGTTCTTGTGTCTCTACGTTGACGTGCTTCCTGTCGAGGTGAGAGGCCACTACCACTACCCACTACTACCCCCCCACTACTACCCCCTACTACTACCCCCCCACTACTACCCCCCACTACTACCCCCCCACTACTACTACCGCCCACAACCACATCCGCCACTACCACCATTACCACAACCACAACCACCACAACCACCACCACCACCACCGCCACCAATAAACCGAACGTCTCCAATGCCTTGTCGCCATTCTGCCCCCCCCCGCACCCCCCCCCTGCCCCCCCCCCCCGCTCCCCCCCCATCTCCCCCCCTCTCCCCGCCCCTCCCTGCCCCCCCTGCCCCCCCTGCCCCCCCCTGCCCCCCAGACGGTGCTGCGTGTGTGGGACTCGCTCTTCTACGAGGGCTCCAAGGTTCTGTTCCGCGTGGCCGTGACGCTCGTGCGACACCACCAGGCCCAGGTGCTGGCGGCCGCCGGATTCCCGGCCATCGTGGCGGCCTTCCGCGCCATGGCGGTGGGGAGCTTCGCCCGCGACTGCCACACGTTCATGCAGGTGGCGGTGGTGGCGGTGATGATGATGACGATGATGATGACGATGATGATGATGACGATGATGACGGTGACGGTGATGACGACGGTGACGATGATGATGACGACGATGATGACGATGATGATGACGTTGACGACGATGACGATGACGACGATGATGACGATGATGATGATGATGATGACGGGGAGCTTCGCCCGCGACTGCCACACGTTCATGCAGGTGGCGGTGGTGGCGGTGATGATGATGACGATGATGATGACGATGATGATAATGACGATGATGACAATGACGACGGTGACGGTGATGACGACGGTGACGATGATGATGACGACGATGATGACGATGATAATGACGATGATGACGACGATGACGATGATGATGATGACGACGGTGATGACGATGATGATGACGTTGACGACGATGATGATGACGACGATGATGACGATGACGATGACGATGATGATGATGATGATGACGGGGAGCTTCGTCCGCGACTGCCACACGTTCATGCAGGTGGCGGTGGCGGCGGCGGCGATGACGGTGGTGACGGTGATGACACCAACGATGACGATGATGACACCGACGATGACGATGATGACGGTGATGACGATGATAACGACGATGATGACGATGACGACGATGATGACGATGATGACGATGCTCGCGTGTGTCTGCGTGTGCGTGTGTGTGTCTAATGTGTGTGTGTGTCTACGTGCGTGTGCGTGTCTAAGTGTGTGCGTGTCTAATGTGTGTGTGTGTCTAAGTGTGTGTGTGTGTCTACGTGCGTGTGCGTGTCTAATTTTTTGTGTGTCTAAGTGTGTGTGTGTCTACGTGTGTCTACATGTGCGTCTACGTGTGTGTGTCTACGTGTGTGGGGAGCGGTAGTGTAGCGGTTAGCGCTACGCTGCGCTATGAACCTGGCGACCCGCGTTCGATTCCCGCTCACGGCTAACACCAGTGACGATTATCTGAACCGGTCCTGGGCCTCCCCAAGGTCGACTCAGCCTCAAATGAGTACCTGGTGCGGTGTGTAAACATCGTCACTAGGGAGACAAAGGCGGTCGGGCGTGGTGCTGGCCACCCACCCCCTCGTGTACCGTTCCGGCCTTCATAGGTGCTCGCTAACAGCACTTGCCCCTACAGTCTGTAGGCTATACGGGGGATCTTTGTCTTTGTCTTTGTGTCTACGTGTGCGTGTGTGTGTGTTTGTCTGCAGGTGTGTGTCTACGTGTGTGTGTGTGTGTCTACGTGTGTGTGTCTACGTGTGTGTGTCTACGTGTGTGTGTGTCTACGTGTGTGTGTGTCTACGTGTGCGTGTGTCTAAGTGTGTGTTTGTCTACGTGTGCGTGTGTCTAAGTGTGTGTCTGTCTACGTGTGTGTGTCTACGTGTGTGTGTCTACGTGTGTGTGTGTCTAAGTGTGTGTGTCTACGTGTGTGTGTGTCTACGTGTGTGTGTGTCTACGTGTGTGTGTGTCTACGTGTGTGTGTGTCTACGTGTGCGTGTGTGTGTGTCTAAGTGTGTGTCTGTCTATGTGTGTGTGTCTACGTGTGTGTGTGTCTACGTGTGTGTGTGTGTCTACGTGTGCGTGTGTGTGTGTGTCTGCGTGTGTGTGTCTACGTGTGTGTGTGTGTGTCTAAGTGTGTGTGTCTACGTGTGTGTGTGTGTGTCTGCGTGTGTGTGTCTACGTGTGTGTGTCTACGTGTGTGTGTGTGTCTGCGTGTGTGTGTCTACGTGTGTGTGTGTCTACGTGTGTGTGTGTCTGCGTGTGTGTGTCTACGTGTGTGTGTGTGTGTCTACGTGTGCGTGTGTGTGTGTGTCTGCGTGTGTGTGTCTACGTGTGTGTGTGTCTACGTGTGCGTGTGTGTGTCTAATGTGTGTGTGTGTCTAAGTGTGTGTGTGTCTACGTGCGTGTGTGTGTCTACTTGTGTGTGTGTGCGTGTGTGTCTAAGTGTGTGTGTCTGCGTGTGTGTGTGTGTGTGTCTAAGTGTGTGTCTACGTGTGCTCGCTAACAGCACTTGCCCCTACAGTCTGTTAAGGCTATACGGGGGATCTTTGTCTTTGTCTTTGTCTACGTGTGTGTGTGTGTCTGCGTGTGTGTGTGTACGTGTGTCTACGTGTGTGTGTGTCTAAGTGTGTGTCTACGTGTGTGTGTGTGTCTGCGTGTGTGTGTGTACGTGTGTCTACGTGTGTGTGTGTCTAAGTGTGTGTCTACGTGTGTGTGTGTGTGTCTGCGTGTGTACGTGTACGTGTGTCTACGTGTGCGTGTGTGTGTCTAAGTGTGTGTGTACGTGTGTGTGTGTGTGCCTACGTGTGTGTGTCTAAGTGTGTGTGTGTCTAAGTGTGTGTGTCTACGTGTGCGTGTGTGTACGTGTGTCTACGTGTGTACGTGTACGTGTGTCTAAGTGTGTGTGTGTCTAAGTGTGTGTCTACGTGTGTGTGTGTCTACGTGCGTGTGTGTGTCTACGTGTGTGTGTGTCTAAGTGTGTGTCTACGTGCGTGTGTGTCTACGTGCGTGTGTGTGTCTAAGCGTGTGTGTGTCTAAGCGTGTGTGTCTACGTGTGTGTGTGTCTAAGTGTGTGTCTACGTGCGTGTGTGTCTAAGTGTCTGCGTGCGTGTGTGTGTGTGTGTCTTGGCTGTGCCAGAGGACGTTTGTGGACCCAGGCAGCTTGCCCATGGCCACCATCACAGCACAACGGGACTCCATTAGAGCAAGGCTCCTGCAGGAGGCGGGTGGACAAGAGGGTGGACGTGGTGGACGTGCTGGTGGTGGACGTGGTGGTGGTGGTGGACATGTGGGTGGACATGGTGGTGGTGGTGGCGGTGGTGGCGGTGATGGTGATGGCGGTGATGGCGGTGGTGGCGGTGATGATGGTGGTGGTGGCGGTGGTGGTGGTGGTGGCGGTGATGGTGGTGGCGGTGGTGGTGGCGGTGATGGCGGTGGCGGTGGTGGCGGTGATGGCGGTGGTGGTGGTGGCAATGGTGGTGGTGATGGCGGTGGTGGCGGTGGTTGCGATTAGGCGGTGTAGTGGTTAGCGCTACGCTGCTCTAAACGAACCCAGCGACCTGGGTTCGATTCCCGCTCACGGCCAACACCACCGGTGACGATTACCTGAACCGGTCCTGGGACACCCCTAGGTCGACTCAGCCTCAAATGAGTAACCTGGTACGATTTGTAAATAACCATCGCCACCGGGGAGACAAAGGCGGCCGGGCGTGGTGCTGGCCACCCACCCCCCCTCGTGTTAAGGCTACACGGGGGATCTTTGTCTTTGGTGGCGGTGGTGGGGGTATTGGTCGTGGTGATGGTGGAGGAGGTGGTGGTGGTGTTAGTGGCGGCAGTGGTGGTGATGGTGGTGGAGGTGGTAGTGGCGATGGGTGGTAGTGGTGGTGGAGACGGTGGTAGTGGTAGTGGCGGTGGTGGCGATGGTGGTGGTAGCAGCGGTGGTGGTGGTGATGGTGGTAGTGGTGGTGGAGACGGTGGTAGTGGTGGTAGCTGCGGTGGTGGTGGTAGTGGTGGTGGCGGTGGTAGTGGTGGTGGTGGTGGTGGTAGTGGTGGTGGTGGTGGTGGTAGTGGTAGTGGTGGTAGTGGTGGTGGTAGTGGTGGTGGTAGTGGCGATGGTGGTGGTGGTGGTGGCGATGGTGGTAGTGGCGATGGTTTAGCTGTAGACCGCTATCGATGTTAATCGGTGTGCTTTGACCATACTTCACCATCTTGGTCATCAGTGTGGGGGTTGGTGACGTCGGGGTGGGGCGGTGTGTGGGTGGTGGTGCGCTCACTGGTGGATCATTGGGCTTTTTAGTAAAAATCTTGATTTGCAGCCTTTCGTGACCTCATGAATCCGTATTCTTTGGTTCTTTCGGTAAAGTCACGTGGGTCGAACAAAAATAATCGATCGCGACGTGTCGATCTCAACGCGAGCGACCGTCATCAGTTTGCCGGCTGCAGCAGTTTCCCCGCTGTGATTGTCTCGCCTGATGACGATTGCTCGTGTTGCAATCGAAACGTCGCGATCGATTATTGTTTTCGACCTACGTGTGACTTTACCCAAAGAACCAAAGGGCATTGATTCGTAATAAATCGTCATTTTGCGACCCCCACTGCCTCATATTATTACGTGCCAGGGACTCTACGAGATGCTCGGACAATAGTCCGAGCCCACAATTGGCGATAAGTAACGGCAAAGCAGTTATAAGCGACTCACAGAATTGTGCGCAGTTGCGTATACAGTCCACACAACAAAGGTCGCAACCGGGTACCCGATACCCGTACCCTACCCGATACCCGGCTACCCGTACCCGGCCGGGTACGGGTAGCCGTTTGCGACCCTGGTGCGGCCGGGTACGGGTAGGCCGTGAGTCACTGGTGAGTCACCGTTTGTCACTCATTTCCCAACGTCTTGTCTCTTCTCACAATTCAAGTTCCTAGAATCAACCCACCCGCGCCTGCAACATGGCTTCATCCCAGAGGTCGCAACCGGGTACCCGATACCCGTACCCTATCCGATACCCGGCTACCCGTACCCAGCCGGGTACGGGTAGCCGTGAGTCACTGGTGAGTCACCGTTTGTCACTCATTTCCCAACGTCTTGTCTCTTCTCACAATTCAAGTTCCTAGAATCAACCCACCCGCGCCTGCAACGTGGCTTCATCCCAGAGGTCGCAATCGGGTATCCGATACCCGTACCCTACCCGTACCCGACCGGGTACGGGTAGGGTACGGGTACGGCCGGGTACGGGTAGACCGTGAGTCACTGGTGAGTAGCCGTTTGTCACTTTTTTCGGGTAGGGTACGGGTACCCGTACCAGGCCGGGTACGGGTACCCGTTTGCGACCCTGGTGCGGCCGGGTACGGGTAAGGAATCAAAACCCGTTTGTGACCTCTGCCACACGACTTCCCTGAAGGCATCGACACCTTCAGCGAGCGCGATGCCGATGATCACACCACGCGGTTCAAATAAAAAGCAAGGGACAACCCCCCTACCTGAACATCCTGGCTCCGCCATCGGGTGCGTTAACCACTGCGCCACCACTCCTCCCCGTCAAAACCACGTCAATGGTACTCATATTTATCTTACTAGACTCTAAATATATTTAAAATACGAATTTTTAAACGCGTTTAAATGATTCTTTTTTTTTAAGTAAACTTATTTTTTTCTTCCTCCGCTAAGGTTTTGGGCCGCTATGTACCGCGTAGCCGTCGGAAGAGCGTTGTCGCGAGATGTGTTTTTTTTGTTTGCGAAGCGAATGAGCATCTTCTTGATTCTTTCGGTAAAGTCGGGTAGAAGGGAAATAATAAAATAATAAAAATAAAACATAAGATAATTCTCACGACGTTTCGGCCACAACGCAAGCAGCCGTCCTCAGGTGAAGAAACAGGTCTGTCGGGAAGACAGCGTCTGAATGAACAGGTCTGTCGGAAAGACAGCGTCTGAATGAACAGGTCTGTCGGAAAGACAGCGTCTGAATGAACAGGTCTGTCGGAAAGACAGCGTCTGAATGAACAGGTCTGTCGGAAAGACAGCGTCTGAATGAACAGGTCTGTCGGAAAGACAGCGTCTGAATGAACAGGTCTGTCGGAAAGACAGCGTCTGAATGAACAGGTCTGTCGGAAAAGACAGCGTCTGAATGAACAGGTCTGTCGGAAAGACAGCGTCTGAATGAACAGGTCTGTCGGAAAGACAGCGTCTGAATGAACAGGTCTGTCGGAAAGACAGCGTCTGAATGAACAGGTCTGTCGGAAAGACAGCGTCTGAATGAACAGGTCTGTCGGAAAGACAGCGTCTGAATGAACAGGTCTGTCGGAAAGACAGCGTCTGAATGAACAGGTCTGTCGGAAAGACAGCGTCTGAATGAACAGGTCTGTCGGAAAGACATGTTCTTCACCTGAGGACGGCTGCTTGCGTTGTGGCCGAAACGTCGTGAAAATTATCTTATGTTTTATTTTTATTATTTTATTATTTCCCTTCTACCTGACTTTACCGAAAGAACCAATAAGATGAATCCCTGCAGTCACGAAAGCTTTAAATCGAAAGCGAATGAGTGCAATTGTTACGTTAGCGTAATTCAATGTCGAACGCCGGGTGGGGTGGGTCGGGGGGGGGGTTGCTTTCGTGACCCGCTACAATCCGTGGCGCACGGTACATTTTTAAATACTTCATATTAAGTTCGCTTGCTTGCTTAGGACCGTGCACATCTTTTGGTCGTGTTTTAACCCACTTCCCGTGATCCAATCGAGCTGACATTTTCCACACAGACTCGTTGTGCGAGACAATTAATGTTCGTGAAAAATGTTTTCCAAAATTTTTACACTTTTTAGGACAAAAAAATTATATTTAATTACCAATTGCTTAATGGTGGCAGGCAATCATCTGACCCATAGGTGGCAGCCATCTCAAGCCAGAGGACGAGAGGACTCTAGCCGCCACGCATATAAAGGATTTATAGTGAAAAACTTTGTTTTTACGGGTTATACTTTTTAAATCCTTTATATTAAGTTCGCTTGCTTGCTTAGGACCGTGCAAATCTTTCGGTCGTGTTTTAACCCACTTCCCGTGATCCAATCGAGCTGACATTTTCCACACAGACTCGTTGTGCGAGACAATTAATGTTCGTGAATTTTTTTCTCCAAAATTTTACACTTTTTAGGACAAAAAAATTATATTGAATTACCAATTGCTTAATGGTGGCAGGCAATCATCTGACCCATAGGTGGCAGCCATCTCAAGCCAGAGGACGAGAGGACTCTAGCTGCCACGCATATAAAGGATTTATAGTGAAAAACTTTGTTTTTACGAGTTAAGCATGTTTTAGTTTGTTTTAGATCGCGTAAATATGTAAATGCGCGTTGATCGCAGTGTGAATTTCCCGACCCGGTAGTGGACGACCCACGGTCATTCATGTGCATCCGTTAGCGGCCCCCCTCCACCCCCACAACGTTCAAGAAGTGCGCACGAGTGATGTGGTCGCAGCTACGCGTCTGCGTTTGGAGGAACGGCGCAGGAGGGGGGTGGGTGTGGGCTTCTCCAACAAATGTGGCTGTCGCCTGATGCTGCCGGTTGCACGCGTGTGTGTGTGTTGGAGAGCCAAGCCACATTTACAGATTGTGATTTGTCAATGTTGTGGCTTGTGTGTGGTGGGTGTGTGGGCTGTGGCGTTGTGTAGTGTGTTTGTGGGTTGTGCGTGTGTGGTCTGTGTGGGGGTTGTGGTATGTGTGTGTGGTGTGTGTGTGGTGTGTGTGTGTGGTGTGTGTGTGGTGTGTGTGTGTGAGGTGTGTGTGGTGTGGTGTGTGTGTATGGGGTGTGTGGTGTGTGTGTGGTCTGTGTGGTGTGTGTGGTGTGTGTGGGGTGTGTGTGTGTGGTGTGTGGGGTGTGTGTGTGTGAGGGGTGTGTGTGTGTGTGTGGTGTGTGTGTGGTGTGTGAGGTGTGTGGTGTGTGTGTGTGTGGTGTGTGTGTGGTCTGTGTGGTGTGTGTGGTGTGTGTGGGGTGTGTGTGTGTGGTGTGTGTGTGGTGTGTGTGTGTGGAGTGTGTGTGGGGTGTGTGGGGTGTGTGTGTGTGTGTGTGGTGTGAGGTGTGTGGTGTGTGTGTGGTGTGGTGTGTGTGTGGTGTGTGTGTGTGTGTGTGTGTGTGTGTGTGGTGTGTGTGTGGTGTGTGTGGGGTGTGTGTGTGGGGTGTGTGTGTGGTGTGTGTGGTCTGTGTGGGTAGTGTGTGTGTGCGGTAGGAGGGAGCGGTGGTGCAGCGGTTAGCGCTACGCTGCGCTACGAACCCTGGCTATGAACCGAGTTCGATTCCCGCTCACCACCACCAACACCACCGGTGACGATTATTTGAACCGGTACTGGGCCTCCCCTAGGTCGACTCAGCCTCAAACGAGTACCTGGCTCGTGCAGTAAACATTGCTAACAGCTGGGGTAGAGACAAAGGCGGCCGGGCGTGGTGCTAGTAGCCACCCACCCCCTCGTGTGCCACAGCGCCGGTAGCCTTCATAGGTGCTGCTACTCGCTAACAGCACTTGCCCCGACAGTCTGTTGAGGCTACGCAGGGAATCTTTGTCTTTGTTTGGCGCGCGTTTGTCTGTGATTTTTTTTGGGGGGGGGGGGTGACTTCGACACCAAAATCTTCCGAGATGTCCGGGGGAGTCATCTTCTTGGTTCTTTCGGTAAAGTCACGTAGAAGGGAAGTAATAAAATAAAACATGATTATTTCCCTTTCTACGTGATGACTTTACCGAAAGAACAAAGAAGATGAATCCCTGCAGTCACGAAAGCTTTAAATCGAAATGTCCCGGGGGGGGGGGTTTGGGTGATGGACGCACGGGGACGAATTGGAAGGAAGAGTAGACCAAAGTATAGACTGTCATTGAGACCAATTGCTCTGGCGGTGGTGACTACGGCTACCACTGCTGCTGTTGCTGCTGTTGCTGCTGCTACTACTGCTGCTGTTACTGCTGCTACTACTACTGCTGTTGCTGCTGCTGCTGCTGCTACTGCTGTTACTACTACTGCTGCTGTTGCTACTACTGCTGCTGTTACTGCTGCTGCTACTACTGCTGCTGCTACTGCTGCTGTTGCTGCTGCTGTTGCTGCTGCTACTACTACTGCTGCTGTTACTGCTGCTACTACTGCTGCTGATGATGCTGCTACTACTGCTACCACTGCTGCTGTTGCTGCTGCTGTTGCTACTGCTGCTGCTGTTGCTGCTGCTACTACTGCTACCACTGCTGCTGTTGCTGCTGCTGTTGCTACTACTGCTGCTGTTGCTGCTGTTGCTACTGCTACCACTGCTGCTGTTGCTGCTGCTGTTGCTACTGCTGCTGCTGTTGCTGCTGCTGCTACTACTGCTGATGTTACTGCTGTTACTACTGCTGCTGTTGCTGCTGCTGCTACTGCTGTTACTACTACTGCTGCTGTTGCTACTACTGCTGCTACTGCTGCTGTTGCTGCTGCTGCTACTACTGCTGCTGCTGCTACTGCTGTTACTACTACTACTGCTGCTGTTGCTGTTGCTGCTGCTGCTGCTACTGCTGCTGCTGTTGCTGCTGCTACTACTGTTGCTGCTGCTACTGCTGCTGCTGCTATTGCTGCTGCTATTACTGCTGTTGCTGCTACTGCTGCTGCTGTTGCTACTGCTGCTGTTGCTGCTGCTACTGCTGCTACTGCTGCTACTACTGCTGTTGCTGCTGCTGCTGTTGCTACTACTGCTGCTGTTGCTACTGCTGCTGCTACTGCTGCTGTTGCTGCTACTACTGCTGCTGCTACTGCTGTTACTACTACTGCTGCTGTTGCTACTGCTGCTGCTACTGCTGCTGTTGCTACTGCTGCTGCTGTTGCTGCTGCTTCTACTGCTACTACTGCTGCTGTTGCTACTGCTACTACTGCTGCTGTTGCTGCTGCTACTGCTGCTGCTGCTACTAACTGCTACTACTGCTACTGCTGCTACTACTGCTGTTGCTGCTGCTGCTACTACTACTGCTGCTGTTACTACTACTACTGCTGCTGTTGCTGCTGCTACCACTGATGCTGTTGCTACTACTGCTGCTGTTACTGCTGCTACTACTACTGCTTAGACTACTACTGCTGCTACTGCTGCAACAACACAAAAATAGAACCAAGTTCCAACACATTCCGTGTCAATCGCAGCAGCACTCCGCGTGTGTCGCCTTGACAGGGCACATGCTAGACTTGGTGACCAGTTCACAGGATCAAGGAAGAGTCGCACAGATGTCGCCGCTAGCCCCGAGCGAGCTGCATCGATGCTTCTGGCGTGCGCATTGCGTTTGTGTCGTTCGCTATCTTGCCACCTTTTTGGTTCTTTCGGTAAAGTCACGTAGAATGGAAGTGATAAAATAATAAAACATAATAAAATACAATTGTCACGACGTTTCGGCCACAACGCAAGCAGCATATCTTGATATGCAAATTTCTTTGTCAAGGCGCCCCTTCCCCCCCCCCTCTAATCCAGCTTAAATATACGCTGCCAAGCCTGGTGGTGCCTATTCAGACGCTGTCTTTCTGATAGACCTGTTCTTTCAGATGCTGTCTTTCTGATAGACCTGTTCTTTCAGATGCTGTCTTTCTGATAGACCTGTTCATTCAGACGCTGTCTTTCCGACAGACCTGTTCATTCAGACGCTGTCTTTCCGACAGACCTGTTCATTCAGACGCTGTCTTTCCGACAGACCTGTTCATTCAGACGCTGTCTTCCCGACAGACCTGTTCATTCAGACGCTGTCTTTCCGACAGACCTGTTCATTCAGACGCTGTCTTCCCGACAGACCTGTTCATTCAGACGCTGTCTTTCCGACAGACCT